GCTATCAACTATCAAAACACAAGGGAACTAGCATACCTTTGCTATACTCATTTGTGCTTTTACTTTTTTTTGTTCCTGACAAAGATTTAAGGCGCCGAAGAATACCAGGGCGGCGGATACCATCAGGTGTTGTAGCAGGTGAGTTACTGGCAGACACTGCCTTTGCATCTAATACCTCCAACAAATCTTTTTCCCAATCTTCCTCTGAGTTTGTTTTCTCTAATCCAAGCTGCGGAGGCACTGACTTTGCTCGGTTATTGATCTCACAGACTTCACTTGTATTCTCAGTTTTTGTTACCACTAAAGATGGTGATGATTTGTACAAAGCTGAGATTTCTTTACTTCCATTTCCTTCTGAATCCTCTATACATACTTGTTTCTGACGTCGCAATTTTGGTGTCCCACTGTTACGAACTTGCTTTTTTTCAGAAGTAATAATATACTTTGCTTCCTGTATGTCTGGAGATGATATATTGCTATCCAAGCTTCCTTGTCTTTTGGGGGCATTTGGCCTAACTTTCAAAACCATACTTGATTTCAGAAATTGCTTTCCTGACATATCTGAATTCTCTTCTGTCTTATTACTGGCCAAAGGAGATTGTTCCCTTAAAGCATCAGCCTTGTGTCGCCATAGGATGTCAAACCTTCCCTGGTAACCTTCATCAACAGAGCTACTCTGCTTCTTGAGGCCAACATTACTGTGACTTGAATCAGGTGTTGAACTTCTGCTCTGCTCGCTGGAATTCTGTTTCTCTGGTCTTCTGTAGCTATTATGATGGAATGTCTGACTGTCTGGAGAGGTACCTCTACTCCTGCTTTGATCTGAAGACGTCTGCTTTCTCATCAGCTTTCTGGCTGTATTCTGCCTCTTTTCTTGTTTCTGAGCTGCCTGGCCCTTCTTTAGCAAATCATCCTCCAGTAAAAGGGAGGAACTCTGTGAAAAGCGCTGTAGCACAGCCCTACGCTGTGTGACTGGGGATGGTGTCTGGCTTTGTCTTGCTATCTTGGCACTGGGAACATTTCCACTTCCGGCCAACTCAACTTCCTCCCTCTTCTTTTTTGATGAAAACTTAATTGGTAATTTTCCAAAATAAGCTTTACTGCTTTCACTGCTAAAGCTTTGAGATTTGCCTTTCAAGAATTCAGTTCTAATTTTGCTTGATTTGCTACTGACCCTATCATCATCACTGCTAGCAGGACTTTTGGGCAATTTTTCAGAAGTTTGTATCACATTTAATTCACCACCTCTATTCCCAACTACCTGATGTCCCTTACTGTTTTTCACTTCCTGGCTGACTGCTTTTGAAGGTGGTGTAACATTTCTATGGGAAGGATCCAGTAATTTTCGATTGAAAGGATCACCACATTTATCATCATTATCATAGTCCCTCACTGCAGGAGCACTGGTAGTGTTACCAATAATAGGTGGTCTTCTTTTGCCCCGGGCAGTAGTCCGACGTGAAGGCCTTGTATCCACTGTGGGCTGATTCATTCTATAGCCAGTGTTACTAGAACTCATGTCCAATCATTGTTATCAAACAAATTCTAATTCAAACCTAACATAATTCAGTTAATCACAGAATGAATATAATTGATATCACATCTTTTCATCAAAACAGATTGTTGTATATCACTGTGTCACATATAACACTCCTAAAGCATGCTAACTATAGCCAGTGCTGAGGCGATGTGTGGTGGGCTGGGTGTGACAAGTGAACTACTAATCCAGGCCATGCCAGGTCTTCCCTCCACCAGCTATACCAACTGGTGCGTGGCTCACTTAAGTCCCATGCTCTGGCTTTGCACTTGAAATATTTCTTATTCATTTAAACACGTTATTAATGAAGTTCTTCTAATAAAACATTGACAAATAAAATTACCTCTGTCAAAATATTTCTTCCCTTATCTGCTATGTCATATCTAAAATTTTACACCATTAACTCATTCCCTCTTACTCCTAAACTAGGTTTTTCTTCCTTCTCCCCCCTCTCTAATAATGCTTCCCTCTTTCATCTCACCTACCTTAAATATTTTATTCCCACTTCAGCCCCTATCTCATCATTCCTTCCAAATCTTCTCTTTATCTTACCTTCTATTCTCTTCCTTCATTTCCCTTAGTTTAGACTTTCTATCTCTACTGAATCTCCATTCAAATCATTCCCTTGTCCTACTTTTTGCAACTCTATCAATTCTTAGATGCACTATGCAGATTCCTAGCCATAATAAGGAAGCATTCATGAGTCATAAAAACAACAAACAATGGAAGCACCAAAACAGGATCTGGCAGCAACACACCATCGTCACAAAGCATGAGAGAGTGCAGACGTGGGAAAATGAAGGTCAGAAGAAGCCAAATGACGGCATGGATATAGGTGCAGGTAATTGTGCTCCTCTGTGCTCTATCACCCATAGCTATGTGCCTCTGTGTTAGTTCACATCTTTCACTTCTATGGCCTCTCTGAACATTCCCTCACAATGATAAGTTATGAGTTTGGATTTGTATACAATTTATTTTTCTTATCTATTGACCATCAATATATTTTTGACTAGAAAAGAAGTAAAAGAGAAACAATTTGCTTGAAAAATGTCACTGACCTCACGATATCATTTATCATTAATCAATGTACACCAACAATGAGGTGGTGGTGGTGGTAAGGAAGGAGGAAGGAGGAGGAGAGGAGGAGGAGGAGGAGGAGGAGAGGAGGAGGAGGAGGAGAGGAGGAGGAGGAGGAGGAGGAGCAGCAGTAACAGCAGCAGAAGAGAAGATAATATATTATAATATATATATATATATAAATATATATATATATATATAGATATATATATATATAAATATATATATGAGAGAGAGAGAGAGAGAGAGAGAGGAGAGAGAGAGAGAGAGAGAGAGAGAGAGAAGAGAGAGAGAGAGAGAAGGAGAGAGAGAGAGAGAGAGAGGGGGGAGAGAGGAGAAGGAGAGGGAGGAGGGAGAAGAGAGGAGATGAGAGAGAGAGAGAGAGAGAGAGAAGAGAGAGGAGAGAGAGAGAGAGGGGAGAGGAGAGAGGAGAGAGAGAGAGAGAGAGAGAGAGAGAGAGAGGAGAGAGAGAGGAGGGAGAGAGAGAGAGAGATGAGAGAGAGGAGAGAGAGAGAGGAGGAGAGGAGGAGGGAGAGAGGAAGAGAGAGGAGAGAGAGAGAGAGGGAGAGAGAGAGAGAAGAGAGAGAGAGAGAGAGAGAGAGAGGGAAGAGGAGGGGAGAGGAGGAGAGAGAGGGAGAGGAGGAGAGGGAGAGCAGAGGGAGAGGGGAGAGAGGAGAGGGAGGGAGGAGGAGGAGAGAGAGAGAAGAGGAAGAGAGGGGAGAGGGAGAGGAGAGGAGGGAGAGGAGGGAGAGAGAGAAGGGAGAGGAGAGGGAGAGAGAGGGAGGAGGGAGGAAGGAGAGAGAGAGAGAGAGAGAGAGAGAGAGAGAGAGAGAGAGAGAGAGAGAGAGGAGAGAGACGAGAGAGAGTGAGGAGAGGAGAAAGAGAGAAAGAGAGAGGAGAGAGAAGAGAGAGAGAGGGGAGAGGAGAGAGAGAAGGAGAGAGAGAGAGAGAGAGAGAGAGAGAGAGAGAGAGAGAGAGAGAGAGAGAGAGAGAGAGAGAGAGAGAGAGAGAGAGAGAGAGAGAGAGAGAGAGAGAGAGAGAGAGAGAGAGGAGGAGGAGGGAGAGGGAGGGAGGGAGGGAGGAGGGGAGGGAGGGAGGGAGGGAGGGAGAGGGGGAGGGGGAGGAGAGGAGAGAGAGGAAGAGAGAGAGAGAGAGAGGAGAGAGAGAGAGAGAGAGAGAGAGAGAGAGAGAGAGAGAGAGAGAGAGAGAGAGAGAGGAGAGAGGAGAGAGGAGGGAGGGAGGGAGGAGGGAGGGAGGGGAGGGAGAGGGGGAGGGAGAGGAGAGAGGGAGAGGAGGAGAGGAGAGAGAGAGGAGAGAGAGAGAGAGAGAGAGAGAGAGAGAGAGAGAGGAGAGAGAGAGAGAGAGAGAGAAGAGAGAGAGAGAGAGAGAGAGAGAGAGAGAGAGAGAGAGAAGAGAGAGGAGAGAGAGAGAGAGAGAAGAGAGCCCTAACCTGCAATGCATGGTAATATGTAGGTCATGATAAACCATAGTTGTCAGCAATATCCCTCCGCATAATCGTGACGAGCGTTGGCGCCCGCCCAAGCCTATTTGTGCGCTGAAGGCTACTCGAGGCGGGCTATTTCGGGAACCACACGTTCGAGAGGAGCATACTTATGACAGAATCCTGGGCATCACCTTCCCACCTCCACAACGGCTGTCTTGGACTCGATCGTCCCTATCAGTCGACACCACGTAGGCCGGAGTGCCAGGAAGCACGCTCTCTAACCCTTTTTTTTTAAAGAGAAAAAAAGGTAGTGGAGAGGGGCATTCCTTGGGCGGTATGCGGTGTATGGCACCTCTAGGTTAAGGTCATGCCCCATACCTGCCGTCCGCCTCCCCCCGCTCTTCCTCCAATCTCGTCCTCCACGGATATTCAAGGCCAACATCTATATAAGCAGACCTTGTTCGGGTCAAGGTCATCTTGGAGACTCACTCAGCCACGTCGCTGCTGAGGCTGTCGGTGCGGGTCACCACAAGCACTCAATATTCACCAATTCAATGTCATAAAAGTCGATGCTCACCGGATCAAGTTCATCCCCTCAGCTGATGTTCACCTGACCAAGTTCATCTTTTCAACGTCTTGCACGGCCCCGATGCCCGAGAGTTGGGAGCCTCCTACAAGGCCGAGGACTGCCCCGCGCTCAGCCAAGCGTGACACGGGTCGAGTCCAAGCCCGAGGAAGGGCGGCCGAGAGACCCCCCCTCCCCCTCCACAGCCCCTCCGCCCGGCCGCGTCCCCCGTCACCCCCGGCCGGACCTACGGAATCCCGCCACTCAACCCTCACTCACCCTTGCAGTAGTCGAAGGGGTCTTCCTGCTCCTCGTCATCCGAGCCCAAGAGTTCTTCGCGCTCCTCCTCCTCGAACTCGCGCTCCCGAATGTCCGTT